TATCAACTCTGTAGTTCCACCTCCAGCTTCCCCAGATATCCCCCTGCCAGGTGAGGTCAGGGAAGCTGATCTCCCCCTCCTAGGTAGCCCAAAATCCCAGCTAAGAATAAGCGAGGGAGGGAGAAAAAAGAGAGCAAGCAAAGAAAGGGCTGGTTCTTTAGGGTGCCACTTCTCACCCGCCCCTTCTCTGGCAGGTGTGGTACTCCTTCTAACCCCCGTCTTTTGTTTAATGATTTTATGGGGGGAAAGGAGACAGTTGTGGATAAACAGGTTTGACAGGGACCCTCTTGAGTTCACTCTTTCTCTTTCCTGCCTATTTAGTTAATATCTTCTTTCACCCTCTCACCTCCCTCCCCCCGCCGATCTTTTGACATCAAAGTCAGTAATCTGTTCATTTCAGTGTCAAAGCATATGTGTATGTGTACACACAGAGAGACGTCTGCATGCATAAGAATAACTCTACACCTGCAAACGAAGAATCCTATTGGAAGACGGAACTTGGGGAAGAAGTGAAAAAAAATGGTGGGGGCAGAAGGGGGGTGATGGGGCGGACAGTAAAAAAACATTGAACCTCCTTCCGTGTTTAATGCCAACCTTTTTTTTTTTTTTTTAAAAATCAACTATAAAGAAAGTAATTCCTCCGCACATTTTTAGCTCTTTAAAAGTGCCTAGTTCCGAAGCATAAAGGATTTTTGGTGAAGCCCTTCATCAATTCAACAAAGTCGCCTGGACCGTCTATATTTTGGTATTAAATAAGCAATAAACTCCGTTATAGAAACACTGTTAGTATTTTAGTGACATTAAGCTTATCTCTCAAATAACACTGCCTGACAAAATGGCTTTGACTTGGCACCGCAAGTTATTTGTGAAGATAGCCTTCCTCTAAAGGGTGTTGAGAATCGGTTGTTTTTTTCGTAACTCCTCACGAAGAATGCTGTATAGTTAAGGAAGCCTGCGTGCTTTTCCTCAAGCACAAACGGCTCCGTAAAGAAGAAGCAGCAACCTCCCTTTCCCCTACCTCTTTGGCGGGACCTTCCCTCCAACAAATCACAGCAAAGGGCTAGGCGAAACGAAGCCTGCCTCGTAGGTCGTTAGATGAACACGGAATTAACTGGCCGGGTTGGTGAGAAAAGCTCTTAGTGGCCAAACGCGTTTCAAGGAATTGTCCGCAAGGAAAGGGGAAACCATCCCCGGTTGGCCCAGAAGAATTGAGATGGGCCTCGAATGGGCCGGGAGAAAAGCAGAGGCGCGGCCAAAACTGAGGCAGAGAGAAGCGAAGAGCGACCGGCCCCTGGGAGAGGAGGGACGGGGCAGGTGAGGGAGCCTCCCCGGGGCTTTACGAAGCGCCCTCTTTTTACTGCTCCGCCCTTGGGACTCTCCATCCCCGATCTCCGGAGTGGAGAAGAGCGCGAACGGCCGTCAGCAGCCTCACTCGAGGCTTCGCCTTAAACCTAATCTCGATAGATGTTAAAGGACACTGAGCTATGAACGTTATCACAGGTCCTGACAGCTACTGTCAGCTGGGGTTAAATCAGGCAGCCCGCCAGCCCAACCGGCTCGCCTGGCAGCTCCCTTGCTCTCCCTGGCCTCGCGCCAACGTCGGAGTATCCCGCCATTCCTGGTTCGATGCTTCCTCCGACCTCGTCCCTTCCTCCGCAGAGGTCGCGCCAGATCTTAATTGCGCCCATTTGTAAGCGGGCTTCTGCTTTTTTTTTTTTTTTTTTGTCATGCTAAACAAGCGTGGTCCAGCCATCCTAACCCCGCTTTTCAAAGCCTCCCTCTTCGGTTCTTTTGTTTACCTTCGCCCGATCTCTCCGTTATTTATCTGTCTATTCTTCCTACTGCTTACCCTGCCATTCAGGTTCCGTGTATGTTAATTGTGTTGTGCCATTTAATTCTAACCGCGGTCTCAAAAGAGCACTTAATGAGAAAAACATCGACAACACGGATCACCCTCGCTATTCAACTCAGCCAGATGGACAACTGCGACCCTCTCTCTTCGCTCTTCCTCCCCCTTTCCCCCTTTTAATGAAAACCCTTTCGGTAATAAAAGGAGAGAGACCTGATGAATAGAAGCGCCAAACACCGCTAATTGTTTGGGACAAGATGCTAATCTGTCCAGCTCCAGTTTTCTTCCGACTCTGTCAGAGATTCTCCCTCCCGTCCTTCTCTTTGGGATTTTGGGGAAACCTCAGCCGAAACTGAGGCAGAGGATGAGGGCAAGTGGAAGGCTGTTGTCAAGCCGGATTCTGACTTGAGACAAGAGGAAAAGAAGAGTTTGCGAAAGGGCAAGGAAAGTCAACAAACTGAGGTTCCCCCAGAGGTCTCAACTAGCTTTCCCAGTATGGGAGTTTCTGAATGAGTTGGGCTATGTTTCCCATTATCCGTGGTTGCAATGGCTGTCATCCAACCACGTTCCTACAGGCATATATTGGATTAGGGAAAGTTAATCCACATTGAGTAGAAACCGTGACTGAGAGAAATTAAGGCTGCAGACCCAAGCAGAATAACTAAAGTCCAAAAAATCCTGCTGCTTCCCTGATAAATACTTCCAATTAAACAAAATTACCTATGATCTTCCTTGGAAGCCCATAAGCATGCATCTAATCCTGAGAGATGTGCCATCAAAAAGGTATTTTGCACATCTGCAGAAGTGTTCCCATCCAGCAGAGCTGTAGCTAAAGTGACCCTTACCCGTGCCACCAAATTCACCTCTAACTTCGCCTTCTCTGCACCAATCTCTACCTTCCAAGAAACCTTTAAGTTTTCCTACATTGGCAGATGTCTCAGTTTGTGAACAAATACAAATGTGCTTGGTGGCAGCACCTGGCTGGCAGGTAAGGACTAGAAAACTAAGCAGAAACAATTGAGCTAGTTCTTGGAAAGGGGACCACAAGGAATTTTAGTGCTCTAAGCCAGAGTGGAAAGTTAGAAAATCAACCCCCCAAAAAAGGCCACGGGAAAACTATTGCCACAAGATACCACGAAAACTATTGTACATGGATGGATTCATGAAGTCACCAGGAATCAAGTTTGACTCAGGAATACTATATCCTTTATCTTTTTTAAAACATGCATTATTTATTTTACTTTCTGATGTGATGGAAACATTTCAAGAACATAATCTTTCCGTAGGCAGGGGGGAGAAAGAGACGGAGAGAGAGAATATGAATGAATCTTGGAGCATAGTAAGTGATTTTCTACTCCCTTTCCCTACTTCTGCTAAGTCATCAGTTTTGTACACAGATACCTAAGGATAAGTCTCACTAAATTTAATGGGACTTACCTCTGATTAAAGATAACTCTCAAGCCTTTAAAGCAGATTTGGCCTCTTGTAAATCAGTTTTACTGGGACTAACACCCCTTTGGCACAAAAATGTGCTGTAGTTTTGCGCATACTCACTTTAGAGTAAAATCTCCTGCACACAATAGGATAGATTGGGAAGAGGGGAATGTGCATATACCTTCTTAAGACATTTGGGGTTCCCAGGACACAAATCAATGCAAAATTACTCAAGTTCCACTTTCTCCTAGGGAATGTGTTTTAGTGCAATCCCTGTATGACAGATCACAAAATGTGGAGATGCAGGACTCATCTGACATTTCCTGGATCATACGATACTGAAAATATATACTCAAAGGACTTATACCAAGGAATGAAATAGAGACTTTCACTTAAGCAAATCACACCTTCTGGCTCATCCTCTATTCCCCCTTCTGGAATACAGGAAAAAATGGTGAAGAAGAACAAAGTTAAAGTTAGAAATAATTGGCCACAAAAGTGTATGTACGTATTCATATATACACTTTTGTATGTATGAGTACGTACATATGTATGAATACAGAGTATGAATACAGCACATGTGCCACAGGAAACAGATTTTAACAAGGTGAGCAGAATTCACCCAGAGATTCTCCATCAGTGACATTGATTCAGGCACCAGTTAGCTCCATTCAGTATAACTGTGCAGGAGAACTTGCCAGTTATATGATTATGCTCAGATTTCAAAACTCTCCAATCCTGTTTTAGGTTCTTGACGTTTCCTTACTTTTGTGTAGAGCTACTGTTATGCTTGGGTCCTAAAGCCCAAAACCTTGGCAAGTCAAAGGAAACCTTTAAGTTTTCAACTTCCTTGCAGTCCACAAAGCTTTTACGTGAAAGTTCATAAGAACTGGAATGGGATTCACACAACATAGTTGACCGGATTGCACGACAGATTGTCTTTATTCAAAATGCCTTTTTTTTTTTTTTTTGTTCAACAAATGAACAGAACTGACGAGGTAAAATCCTTTTGGATACATTGTCTCCCCAATACACTTTAAACCATATTTAGTTTATCACCATGTTACTCTTTTTTAAAATTATTTTTATTCTCTTTTCATTAAAAAAAAAAACTACAGTCTGACGTCATAGCTGACATTCTGTCTAAAGTAAACTTAGGCCTACTTGCACTTATTCACACAAATCGAAGGACTATCTGTTTAAAATTAAACAAATACTATCATATCATGTTTGAAATATAAAACTTTTAACCCCCCTTTAATAATTCTAAAGAGCTGTTGTGTTATTTTAATCTTTCTGACATGAAAAGCAATGTTATCTATTAGTGCTGGATGATAAAATATAGATATATAGAATATATATATAACACAGCTAAGTCTTGGTTTTAATGTGCAAAGGAAAAAAGGTAGGGTATCATTAGGTTAGAGCAATTCTGGGGTTTTAAAAATTAACGTCCGAATAACATTCAATCATACAAACTCATTAACATTAATAAATTAAAAAAATCAAAAGGATCGCTGTTGATCTTTAGCCAAAAGGGCAGTTAAAAGTTTGACACATATACAAGTTGTACAAGTTTTGGGCCAATCTGAGCCCCAAGTGCAGAAAGCAAGGAAAGAAAGTTTTCTGTAAAGACTGTGAGTTTTTTTGGATTTTGGATTCTAAGGTTTTGGTGTCCCCCCCCCCCCCCCCCCCCCCCCCCCAAGAGTCCCAGGGTCTTTGCCCAGGTGGAAGAGATTCCCCAGGGCATCTTTCCACGCTCAAGTGGCTTTTCGGTTAGGCGGATTGTTTGTTTCTGGAGTTCGGTATGGTACATGCACAACGATCGGCTTCCGATTTCTTCCTTTGGCCAGTCTCGCTGGCTCCATACAGATTCCAGTCGCCTGCAATGTGTGGGACTGCCAGTGGGAGTTTGGTTTGTGTGTTACATGGCTGTAGCGTGCGCTGAAGAATAGGGGTCTATTCCAGTCTTGGTCATGCCCGGGAATAATATGTAGGCAACAGGAGGCTGCAAACTGGACGCAGACCAAGCCGAACAGTTACAAGGCACCACGTAGCCTGGGTTGGTTGGCGACGGGTGAGTGTGGGTGTGCTGGCTCGGGCAACTCAAGGTGCCAAAAGCCCCATTCTGGTATCCCAAGGTTGAGGCGTAGGGCAGAGTGCTGGTAGCTAAGGTGTGGGGCACCTCGGTCATCTTCTGGATGGCGCTGGAGCTGAACTGGCTGGGGTCAAGTAAAGAGTAAGGTGCGGAGGTGGGGGGCAGGAAGGCCCTCGCCTTCTCCGGGGAGCCGAGCAGAGAGTCTGTGGCTGCCACGGGGAGCCCTGCCGCCTTGAGGGGGTCGGTATCCCCGAGGTAAGGCAAAGGGAAGACATACCTGTCCTTCTTGAGCAAGTTCTTAGGCTTGCGGCGGGGCCGGTACTTGTAGTCGGGGTGCTCCTTCATGTGCTGGGCGCGCAGCCTCTTGGCTTCGTCTATGTACGGGCGTTTCTCGGCCTCGGACAGCAGCTTCCACTCGGCCCCGAGGCGCTTACTAATCTCCGAATTGTGCATTTTAGGGTTCTCCTGGGCCATCTTCCGACGCTGCCCCCGGGACCAAACCATGAAGGCGTTCATGGGGCGCTTGATGTGATCCGAAGGCTTGGACATGGTGCTGCGCGGACCGTCTGGCGCCTCCAGGAGCAGCCGCCGCCCGCCGGTACGCCGTACGCTCGCCGGCTCCGCTTCCCCGCCTGCCTTCCAGCCAAGGCCGCCGCCGCCGCCGCTTCCCTCTCAGCTGATCATACCAGTTGTCCCAGCAATCCAGTCCCCGCCGACGTGCCCCGAGGGACGGCGAGCCGACGACGGAGGCGGGCAGCAACGGAGTGGCCGGGCCTCGCCCGGTGTGGCGCGCTCTCCCGAGGCTCTGGCTGGGGATCCCTTCGGAGTTACAGGCGCTCAGGTGCCGCGACGGCGGGGCGCGAGAAGGCAAAGCGGAGGACGCCAAGTGGAAGCCGAAAGGCGAAAGGCTGGGAAGGCGAGCCTGCTTCGGACGGCGCGCAAGCTGACAAGAGCTGCAAGCGGGGCGGTGACTCTCTCCCCACCCGGTGGCCCAATCAGCGGCCGGCAAGCGGGAGCTGGAGGGAAAGGGAGACCCTCGGAAAGGCGAGGAGCGAAAAAGAGGCGGGGGAGGGAGGGAGGGAATCGGGGGGCGAAGGGAGAAGAAATCACTAAAGACTCGGGATTAAAGGAGCCGCTTTTGTTCGACGGCGCACTAATAGCGGCAGCCAATAAAACGCCTCACGCCCCTTCGTTTGGGGGCGGAGTAGGAGGGGGGGGAAACGCCGGGGCTGCGAGTGGGGGCGGAGGGAGACGAAAGGGCTGGATTCTAATCCTCTCTTTTCTTGCGGAGGCAGTGGGAGGGGGAGGAAGAGAGAGCAAGCGAGTCACTTTATCAATGGGGGCGGCGCAGGAGTCAAGGGGGCAAACGCGCACCGTTTTTCCTTCCCGTCTTCTTTCTCCGGGTTGAAAGGATGGGGGGGGAGGGGAGGCTGAGTGCCTGTCAACTGGCCGACCACAGGAAGCACGCGGGGCGTCGAAAGTGAGAGCGAACTAGCTTTCTCCTTCCCTCCCTTCTCTCCCTCTCTCTCCCGGAGCCACCTAGAGTTCGGGCCGGACGGAACGTTATAGACCGGGCTGGGCTGCGCTGGGCTGGGTAGGAAGCAAACGCGGTGCCTCTTCCTTCCGAGAGCTCTGACAAACGGCAAGAGGAGAGAGAACGGAGGTTATTATTTCTCCTCCTCCTCCTCCTCCTCCTCCCGCTTCTTCCGAAGAATTTGCTACAACGGAGGGCCAAGGAAGGGAACCCATAAGAAATCCTGTCCCCGCTCAAAGGAAGGCTGGGAAAATGATGAAGATGCTTCCGCGGCGGGTTTCTCTAAGTTGTCCCCATTTCAAGAGCTAACCCTTCCCCCCCCCCCTCCGTCCTGGGGTTTTATTGTTATTTTCAAGCTATTAAAGATCGGCTTCTAAGAAAACGAAATACCCATAGGAGCCCTTTCTCCCTTCCACGCCTGTTTTCTTTGAATAATTGCTGCCTAACGCAAAATGCCCTTTGGGCTTGGGGGAAAATATTTATTAAATGGAAACCATTTCTCTGGAATCCCCGAAGAGGCCGGGTTCTTTTAAGGGCGTATTGGCTTTGTGCACCTGCTTAGTTTTAAACTGGTCCAACGGCAGCCTTTTCTCCTATTTTTGCCCTTAAAGGGATTCTTTCCAATAACTCATCAGAACACAGACTCCAGTTGGCTCTCTCGGGTTTTTTTTTATAGACGGCTTTGTAGCCCTCACCCCCCCCCCCCCCCAAAAAAAGATGGGTTAAAAAAAAGGTGACTTGCTGTCCTCTTTCGCAAGGCGACGCTGCATTTCCCAATTAAAAGAGAAGAGGGATTGGGTAGGTATTTGATGAATTGAGCCATCTCCGCATTTTTTATTTCCGATTAAGTTTCGGAGCTATAACATACACAATTCAGACTCAGTATATTCAGTGTCCATACACGCTCCTACATACAGTTATAGCAAAACCTTATGATCAGATAGCAGGCAAGAAAAGAGATGGTTATTCTGCTTTGCTTTCCTTTCGATCATCAGCGGAAAAGGAACCAAATTTGGGGTTCCCCCCTCCTCTAAACTCTCCTGCCGCCAACCTTCACCACATCTCGGACCCCTGGATTTGGCAGGACTTGGGCGCTCTCGAAGGGAAGCTGGCTTTTTCTTCTGAGTCGGATCCAGACCGCCTGCCAAAGCAGCTGCTTCTCCAACTCCTTTCGGGAACCCCCCTGTCCGCCAGGGCCGCCGGCTTTCTCTCATCTTCTTTGAAGTTCTGGTCTTAAGACAACCCAAATTCCCGTTTAGGGGCCCAGTAAATATGAGCTGCGGGTCGTTCTCAGCGCTTGGCAGCCGGGAAGGTAAATAGATTGATTGGAAAGAGTTGCAAACCACTAGTCATTTTTCAGCCAGATGCATTTTCCGTCTCTGCCCGGGGCGCTAAGTGCTTGCTCCCCAAGGTATATTTAGAGGTTACATACGTACGCCAGACAAATGCCTGGTTCATGCATATGAAAAGAAGTCGTGCTTTGCAAGGTGTGCCGGTATGTATGGAAGCGGGGTGTGCCCCTCCAACAGAATCGCTTCGATTCTTTTTCATTTCGGCTGTTATTTCCTCCACTCTACCCACCCAAGTGGGTGGAGTGGAGGGTAGTATTCCGGCCTCAAACAATAACACCCCCAATTTTGTTTTGACTCCAAGGACAGCTGTCGATTGTGTACCTGGATGTCCCTGGAACTGAGTTCTCTTGATAGGGCAATTTAACAATGTTAAAAGATGGCTTTCTTTTGGCTTACATGCCTGCTTTGAGTGGGTGTTAGTAACCATGGTTTTGTTTTTTTAAAAAATGCAAGTGGGAACCTGGCTTGAAATTCTTGCCTCCAAACCGGAAAAAGCTTCGTCTTGTCTCCCTGTAGCGATACACGCCCATACATACATTTTCCAAACACACCATAAAGCTCCCGCCCCGCGCCTAAAGAGAAGCACAAAAGGTCTGTCTAAGACGCGTTTCTTCTTCTCCTGTGCGCGCCCTTCTTCAGAGGCGCCAATAGCTACAAGCGCGCAAAGCATTCTGTACTTACGAATAGTGTGATGGCAAAACCTCGCCTAGCATTCAGACTGCTTTCTCCAAAGAGGAAGCGATCTCTGATCGTTAGAAAAATCCGAGCATGCGGTCAAAAGCGTCCGATTTTAAATTGATCTAACTCAACTCAAATGCGCGCGTACACACATTCATCTGGCGCGCACGTGCTCTCTTGGCTGACTTAAACTCCTAGTTGGGGAGATTATCAGTAGAGATCTCCGAAATTCCTTTTTAGAGTTTTCACTACACTACTTTGTAAAACCCCGAATAAAGGCGGAATATACGATATTATAGTAGCCTAAAATGGAACAGTGTGTATGTATGTATGTGTGAGTGTGAGTGTGTGTGTGAGAGAGAGAGAGGGAGACGGAGAGGGAGAGAGAGAAAAACATTAACCAGATCAGGAAAAGGATCACAGTTCCATTGCTTTCCGGAAGGGTTTTGGAATGGAGTTCCAGTTCGCAGCAGCTCTGGAAGACTGGGAGGGGGAAATGAGAGCGCTCAGAAAAGCGCTCACCTGATTCAAACATCACAGAGTGAGAAGCACCCAACAAGAGACGCACGCATCTCTTGTTTGCCTTGCCTTTAACCGCCGGAGAAACATTTTAAATGAGGTGTCGGAGAAAACAAAAAATCATTTGAGAGATTCTGAGTTATTGTCCCAATAGGAGATTTCAAAAAGGGTTGCTCAGAGAGCTTTGGTTGCCCGATTACTCCGCCTGGCATGAAAGCTTGGTTTGTCTTCCTTTCCGAAAACTTCCCTGCCTCCATTCCACCAAGTAACAAAGTACTGCTAGAGATTCGGAACCGAGCGACTTTCTCCTCTACAGTTTAAGAATCCTGATAGGTGGAGTCATTCAAGAGCAACCCTACTCTTGCTCACAGCCGCCTTCTGGTTTCGTGCATCCAGCTGACACTGGCGAACTCCCAGTGTCAAACAAAATATTGCTGTCTCGGCAAATCCCTCACTCATCGGTAGAAGAGGCAATAAATTCTGAGATGCATTATGGAAGAAAACCAAGGCAGCCTTTTGCAAACAGAATTGAAAAGGGCCTTACCCCGATTCGTGACAAGAGTAAAGGGTTGAATTACTGGCCAGAGGGGCTATGCTGAGATCACCAGACTTCTTAGCGGGGCCCCGCTCCCTCCCCTTCTCCCGATCTCCCAAGGGATATTGCTCCTTCCTCTTCCAAATCTTTAAGTCCCTTCGGGACCTCTCCAGCCGCTGAGGCTCAGAGGCCCATGCCGAGCCCGGTTATTCGGGGATCAAAGCGGATTGGGACTTTTAAGAGATCGGGTTGGGCACTGTGGAAATCGGATGTAATTTTGGGAATGGGAGGCTCGATCAAGATTGGACACCCTCATCATTGGAGAAGAATTATAGCTCCTTCTTTCCCAGACCTGAGTCTTTCCATTTACCAAAGTATCTTCTCATAAAAATGCTAAGCATCGCTATCGGCAGGAGGGAGCATCCAGTTGGGACCGCAAATGCAGCTGGCGCCGTTTTGCCCCCCGGACAAGAAAAGTCCGGCCTCTGTTTAAGTGCCATCTCGATAGCGGGGCGTCAGGGCGACCAATCGTTTGGGAAAGAAAGCCGCGCTTTGTTAAGTATTGTGTCGGCTATGGAAGAGAAGCTTTCAGATAGCCGCATCGCTGTTTCTGGACTATCGACGGAGCGAGGTGATAACTCCTGGGCAGACGGAGGAATGAAACGTCCAAGCCATAAGAGCACATGCTCGCCACGTACATACCTCCCCCCCACCCCACTTCTCTCTTTCTCTGTCACAGACCCTCTTCAGAGGTGACATATAATACTTCTGGCTTTGGGACACCTAGGCCTGCTGCCAGACATGAGAGGATGGAAGTTCGGGGTTGGTGGTGTTGGTGTTAAAATCTTTCAAATTATGGTCCCATGTTATTGCAAGATTCCTTAAAATGTACTCCTGAATCATTTTCAATGAGGAAATCCCCAAATAAGGG